GACCGCGGTGCGGGCGGCGTCTTCGACCAGCGGCAAGAGCAGAAGCTTGGGGGTGTCGATGTCGTACTGCAACTGGATGGTGCAGGATCCGCCCTTCTTGGGGTTGAATTTGAATTGAGTGACCTCGCCGTACTTGTTCTTGATGTCCTCCTCGCGCAGCTTGGCGTCCTTGCCATGCTCCTCGGAGTCGTCATCGGAGTCATCATCCATCTCGACATCACGCTTCTGGCGCGTGTTGTCGCCCTCGTCATCCTCGTCCTCGTCCATGGCATCTTGCTGGCGCACCATGTTCTCCTCTTCATCCTCCGGGCCTTCGTAGGAGACCTGGTTGTTGCGGTTCTGGTTGCCCCGGGACCGCTTGGCGTCGTCCTCATCGTCTTCGACATCGTCATCCATGGGCTCTTCTTCGGCATCCCTGCCGCTCGGGGCATCCTGGACCGTGCCAACGGAGACACCAATCTCAGGCTGAGCGGTTGAGAACTTCTTCAGCGTCTTCTCGTCATTACGCTTCTTGAGCTCGGTCTTGGTAAGCTTCACGAGTCTCGGGATGAACTTGTTCTGCAGAGCGTTTTGCACATCCTTGGTCGTGATAGCATACTCGGCGGTGTACTCATCAGGAGGGAAGAACGCGATCTCAATGTCGTAGATCTTGGCCTTCATACTGCCGGAAGAAACTCTCTCCTTGATCTGAACCTTATCAACAACCTCTGCAATGCTGAGCTTGCTAATGGCCTTGGCGAATCTTTCAGAGTGCTCCTTAGAGAGCTCTTCGTTCAGATACAGGGTCATGGTAGGGGTCATGATGTGGGCACTAGCTGTCATAACAATTTCACGAAGACGGGGAATACCCAGCGTGACGTTCTTCGCGGAGTGACCAGCCAAGTGGAAGGTGTTCAGAGTCATCTGAGTGGAAGGTTCACCAATAGACTGCCCGGCCACAATACCGACGGCCTCACCAGGGTCCACAACCGACTTCATGTACTTCATGTTCATCAGAGTGTTGAATGACTTCTTAGTGATAACACCCTCGATGCTCTTCTTCTTATCCCTGAGCAGTCCATCGGGGTTGGCATCCTCGTACTATAATAGTGAATGTGTCAGTCATGCTGGAAAGCTGATTGGCTCTCAGTGGACTCTTACCTTCTTGAGCGCTTGCGAGAATGCTTCGGAGATACTACCCAGATTACCTCCAGGGTGATAAAGTGAAAGAACAGGATCCATAGCATCGACCTTGCCTGTCTTGCGAACCTTCTTGACGGCATCCTTGTGCCAGTTGACGACCTCTTCCTTCTCCAGACCGTGGAAGTCGCTGGTCAGGTTGACCTGCGACATGATGGAAAGGTAGTTGGACGCCAAGAAGTCGAAGTTCTTGAGGTGAACCTGCTTCGTGATGTCCAAACCATCCTCACCGTACAAGAACTGGACAATGGATCCATCGGAAGCCTCACGGACCGAAGTATCATACTCCGCCCTCAAGCCCTCCATTCCCTTGATCAAACAACGCTGCAGATAACCGGATCTGGAAGTCTTGACAGCAGTATCGATCAGACCCTCACGACCAGCCATGGCGTGGAAGTAGTATTCCTGGGGCTTAATACCAGTCAAGAAACGACCACACACGTAACCACCAGCCATGGGATTCGTGTCATACGCCCGGAAAGAGGGCAGCGTCTTACCGCTCACCATGACAGGTACACGGCGACCTTCCAAAACCTGCTGTCCAAGGTTGCAGGAAATCAGATTGGCGTTGACGCTAGAACCCTTGGCTCCGGAGATTGTCATCGACTGCATCTGGTTCCAGGGGAAGGGCTTAACAAGACCATTAGGAAGACAGGCTTGGGTAATTTCAGTAGACAGTTTCGCGTTACGGGCGTTGGAAACGCTATCGAGGCCACTCTGCTTCTCATCGTCGCGAAGAACTTCCTCCAGACGCCGAGTCAGCTCGGCGTCCTGGTCGGCGCCATTAGCCTCGTCGAGAGTGACATACTTGAGTGCGACCTCACGACCCATGGCGGCAGCCTCGCTGATCTTCTCTCTGCGTACGCGGTCACCTTCCTTAGTCAAACGAAGATCATCGATACCGCAAGTGAAAGCGCGCATGTTGAGGAACCTGGTCAGAAGACGACCCAAGATACTGATCAAGCGACCCGCAATGGTGTGTCCATAAATTTCGTGAATGGCATCAACCAAACCGCCAGCAGTGGGACCGATTTGCTTCTTGTCGAGAATACCGCAAAGCAACTCTCCATCCTTGAAGATGACTGTGCCTTCTTCGTTGCCCTCGCCCCAGCGGTCACCGGGCGTCGAGGACTTGCTCTTCAAGTTAAGACCGGCTCTACCTGGTGGCATGATGTTCTTAAGAATGGTGGTGATAACTTGTTTGCCGGTCCAGAGAGGCCTGGGTCGAATGACGGCCGGGCCGATAAGTTGAATCCGGTCGGTAATGGTGTGGGAGTTCTCGGGTCTAAGACAGCTGTATAAGAGCTCGTGATAATCCTCCTCATCGAAGAAACTGTCTCGGCACGTGAACCAGGTGCTCATGGAAATGTGATCCTGAATCAAACCACGCAGAGGCTTGCCGGACGTTGCGACAAGGTACTGATGGTCCGCATCCGCAAGCATCATAGCCTCTGACCGGGCAAGTTCGTTCTGAGGGAAATGCATGTTCATCTCGTCACCATCGAAATCCGCATTGTAGGTATTACAGTTAGCGTAGTGCATGCGAATCGTTCTTTCGTTGGGAAGGACACGGGCCTTGTGACCCATGATAGACGGCTTGTGGAGGGTAGGTTGACGGTTCATCAACACAACATCACCAGTCGTAAGATGACGGTAGACTTTCTTGTTGCGAGACCCCTTCATGCGCCAGTTCGAGGGCGCCAGCAGCTGGTTAGCCAATGCAGTACGCTCGTCCAAGCTCTTGAATTTCAGGTTGGTGACCTGTCCCAGTTCATTTTCAATGGCAGAAGCACCTGGGTATTTGTCGGGACCGTTGATTACCGCCTGTTTCATTTCCCAGAAATTGTGGTTGGTCACAGGCTCGGGATAAGTCAACTTCTTAGCGAAAACCATGGGGACACCGATTTCATTGGTTTCGATGTTCGGATCGGGAGAGATGACACTGCGGGCGGCGAAGTTGACACGCTTTCCCATCATGTTCTTCCGGAAGAGACCCTCCTTCTTTTCCAGGATCTGTTTGATACCATTGGGGCCGGCGGCGGCAGCTGGTCCAGCGGACGCATTGCGGTCGCGGTCGATCAGTCCGTTCACGGTATCCTGGAGCTGAACAATGGAGTGAAGCAGATCACGGTAATCGCGAACGCGCATCGCAGCACTAGAGCTGCTGCTTTGTCTTTCCTTGCTGATCTGGTTGATAATGTCGCAGTTCTTCAGAATACTCGTGAATATGGTGTTTTGTTGAGCCTCCAAGATAGCGCCAGCTCCTTGCTGTGCGGCGGGACGATATCTGTTGGGCGGCACCAAGATGTTCTTGATGAAGAACATGTCTGCGCTAACTCGGGATTCCTTCTTCGGTAATGGTCGAGAGTTGTACACGAGAGTCAGGATTTCCGCTTCCTTCTCAAAAAGCAAGGTCAATGCGGCATGAACCTCAGGAGAAGGCATGTATTGCTGGCCTTCACCGGCAGTCTGTTTCTTGCTCTCGAGTTCGGTGACAACAGCATTGCCACGAGCAACTTCCTCCTCGGCGCCATGAACCTGAGATGCGGTGTCTGAGGCTCCATCCGCCTGTGCCTCCTTATCCTTGCTGTTGAACTTTTGAGCCTCCTGAAGAAGGATCAAGGAGTTGGGTGCTTGGAATCCAGCCTGCAGCATGGCGTATTTGGACTTCTCAGGTAGAGCCTTGCGGAAAACCTTCGAGAACTTATCTTTCCGATAGGACGGGGAGATACTGCAGAGCGACGTCGGTCAGCTTTCGGCTGACTAGGAAAAGGACGTGTGGGAAATATGAGAGTGATAACATACCCACTGCAGCTGGCACACTTGCTCGGGGTGCCAATAGCTTTCATGAACTCTCTCACGAGGAACCGACGCAGCTCCGCAGCCAAGGGGTTCTTCGCACCAGCCATAAGACCCTTCAGTCTTCCATCTGCTTGCGCTTGTCGGATGCATTTCTTGACGTAGGAGGTTCTGCGAGCCATCTTGTCGTCATCGTCCTCGTCCTCATCGCTGGATCCCTCGCCGTCTTTGGCGGCCTTTCTCTTGTTGCCCGTCGAATGAGCCATCGTATCGATGACAGCAACCTCCTCGACCAAGCCATACTGCAGGAGTCGCAATTTGCAGGCATAAGTGTTGATTTCGAAGCGAGACATTTGGAAGCGATGGCAGTAGACACATTGCGCCTTCAAAAGACGGTACATCTGTTCGAAATGTGTGGGATTGTACACACGGACTGGCAGCTCAACATGACCAGAATGGCCAGTGCAAGACCAAGAAGATTGCCGACATGTTGTGCAACTGGTTGCCGTCAGTTCAGGACCCCGCTACTGGCAGATATTCCGCGGAATTGGATGAGAGCAAAATGACATTGCGAAGTCGATATCCCAAGTAGGAAAAGAAGAGAGAATCTTGCACTTACACATGATCACCCCAGGCACCCAGAGCTGGGTCGTAGAGACCACCGGGAACAGGATTGTTAAAGGAATCCAGCGCCGGGGTGTTCTGGATTCGCTTTACAGAGAGAGCTTTGATGTCTTCATCGGTGTAGACGCCAAAGTCAATCCCCGCGATGGAGGAAGCCACCGGTCGTGCGAAGGTCGCCATGATGTCCCCCTGCAGCTCTTGGAGCAACGGGTGGTGCGATGCCTTCGGTCCTTGTATGGCTGCTGGCCTGGGGGAGATCGAAAAAGCGGGTTCGTCGGCCGCGACGATGCGAAAAAGTTGCACCCAACTTTTTTTCTGCCCTGCGGCACCGCCCGGCGGAAGGCCCACCCCGTGATTCCTCCGTCTGTCTGTCTGTCTGTCTGTCTGTCTGTCTGTCTGTCTGTCTGTCTGTCTTGCAGATCCGCCCGCTCCCAAGAGCTTCGCTTCTCTCTCTCTACCTCATTTCCTTCCTCTCCCTCTCTCTCTCTCTTTCTTGGTCATCGGCTCCTCCATCACTTCTCGTTGGCCGTATTCAGGGTGACACCTCACTCCGCTTATCATGGCTGACGCGTCAGGAAATGCGCTGAAGCGCCCTCACCCCGAAGATGACCAAGATAACATTCAAAAAAGACCCCGTTCCAATCATGGCTCTCCCGCGCCCGCCAAAGCAGCGCCTGCCGCGGGCAAGCTGGACATTGAAAAGATGGTCGCAGAGGCCAGGGCAAAAGCAGAAGCAGTACGTGCTCGCCTGCAAGCCGCGAAGGGCATAGTCCCGTCTCCCTCGCCAGCCGCTTCAAGTCCGAGTCCAACACCTCCCGCGGCCAGCCCGGCAATGTCCAGGCTAGAACAGATGAAGGCCCGAGTCGCTGCTGCTACCGGACGAGCCACCGCGACCGCCCAGCAACGAATTGTCCCTACGCCTGCTCCCCAAGCTCCTACGCCACCTCCGCCGCCGCCTCCTTTCGAAGACGAAGATGATGGCTCGTCACGGGCTCGCGGTGGTCTCGATGTCGGTCTCCACCCCGCCCTGCTATCGGATACCCTTGAGTTCAGAGGTGGTAAAGGGCGGCAATCCATGCAGTCGAAAGGCCGTCGGACTGAGTCTCCGGCTACGGCCGGCCGGCCTGATCGAGCCGGTCTTGATCTTTCGGGCCCGTCGTTGGAGGAGATCAAGAACAACCCATACTTCGACCCGAGCCTCGGTCCCAAGGCTACAATTGCGAAGCCTCGACAATCCCGGCAGCTCATCTTCAACCAGAAGGGCAAGTACATACAGCAGGCGGCCGCTCTACGGCGGCAGGCTCAGCTGGAGGCTATGAAGAAGCGGATCGCAGAAAGAGCGCGACAGGCCGGTATCGACGAAGACTTGGACGTTGAGAAGGGTTTCCTGGTACCCGCGCCTCCAGCGATCGAATGGTGGGATGAAGGGTTGGTCGATGGGGAGGACTACGCGGCTATCGAGGACGAGCAGAAGCTCAAGATTGACACCCCCGACACGATCATCACGCGATACGTCCAGCATCCTGTCCTTCTCGACCCTCCCCAGGAGAAATTCTTACCACAACAAAAACCCATGTACCTCACGCCGAAGGAGCAGGCCAAGATCCGTCGCCAGCGACGAATGGCAGATTTGAAGGAGCAACAGGCGAAGATCCGGCTGGGTCTGGAGCCGGCGCCGCCGCCCAAGGTCAAGAAGTCGAACTTGATGCGGGTGCTCGGCGAGCAGGCAGTCAAAGACCCCACCGCTGTTGAGGCGCGCGTCAATCGAGAGATTGCCGAGCGCAAGGACAAGCACGAGGCGGCCAACGCTGAGCGCAAATTGACCAAGGATGAGAGACGCGAGAAGCTCGCGCGGCAGCAAGAGGCTGATGCGGAGCGTGGTGTGCTGATGTCGGTCTATCGTATCGATACGCTCGCCAATGGACGACACCGCTTCAAGATCAGCAAGAATGCCGAACAAAATGCCCTCACGGGGGTCTGTGTCATGCACCCTCGATTCAACCTGGTCATTGTTGAGGGCGGTGCTCATTCGATCAACAACTACAGAAAACTGATGATTAACCGCATTGACTGGACGGAAAATGCGGGCCCCGGAGCGGTGCGAGAGGGCAATCGCGAGGCTCAGGCGTCATGGCTAGCCGCCGAGGACGAGCAGACCGGAGAGCTGAAAGATTTAAGCCATAATACTTGCGAGCTGCTGTGGGAGGGTCAGGTCAAAGCCCGAGCATTCCGGAAGTGGTTGGGTGCGCGTGTTTGCGAAACTGATTCCCAAGCGAAGGACGTCTTGGCTCGAGCGAAGCTGGAGAGCTTTTGGGCGTTGGCAAAGAGCGCCAAGCAGAGCGAGTCGTAAGTATTTCGTGGTCTTCGAGCAGTACCATGCCACGATCATTACGGGATCGGTGGTGATTTACCATAAGATGCTACGCCAGTGACGTGTATAATTAGAACTCATAACTTACTCATGATATTCGGACTGAACCAGTCTGCACACTGTACATATTCAGAGACGCTACATGTTGACCGGTAAACGGAAGTTGAAAACTTTTGATTACCCATGCCATGAAAAGAATGCCCAAGAAATCCTGAAAGTGCAGCTAAAACCCAACACCATAGATTTATTTTGATGAACGAAATGCCAAAAAGCACACGGAAGATGAGACGCAATCATTGACGAGGCGGGCCTTGTTGATTGTTGCTCAGATGCCGCAGCAGATCCAACTGAGCCTTAACCTGATCAAAGTTCATGGTGGGAGCTTGCACCGGTGGTTGCTGTCCCGGAGCGTGTTGCTGCTGCTGTTGCTGCTGTTGCTGTAATTGTTGCTGTTGCTGGAGGGCAGCGATGAGCAAAGGGTTGATTTGCATGTTAGGGGGGAGTTGTGGGTAGGGGTTCGGTGGTTGTTGGTAGGCCTGTTGGAATGGAACCTGGAAGTTGAATGGAGCCGGCATAGCTCCTCCCTGTTGGTAGGGCTGCTGCTGCTGCTGATGCTGCTGCTGCTGCTGCGGGAATGCGAACGGGTATTGCTGGGGAGGGTAGGCACTGGGCTGCTGGCCAGCGCTCATCAACTGCTGTAGGTAGGCAGCGTGTTGATTCTGGGCTTGAGGTTGAGGCTGGGGTTGAGTGCCCTGCGTCTGTTGCTGATAGTAGGAAGAACGGTCGGGACGCTCGTGATGAGCATCGCGAGATCCGGCTCCGGCTCCTCCGCGGCCACGACCAGCGCGACCGCGATCAGATCCTCGGCCTCGGCCTCGACCACCACGGAAACCGGAGTTGTTCCTGCTGTGACCAGGGAGACCATCTGCTTCGACGGGGGCCTCCTGCTGGCGCATCATCTCGTGTAGGTTCTTCGGACGGGCAAGGGGCGTATAGCCATCGTCCGCCGGGCTGTCGTCGTAGTTCAGTTCGCTGTGGCTAAGTTTCGAGGGGCCTGGTGCTCCTCGCTTCGCCCTGGTGGAGTCGCTCTTGCCCTCCTTGTTCTTCTGGCGCTCCTGCTTCACCTTGCGCTTATACTCGGCTTCCGCCTCATCGTCGGAGAACTCGACTTCGTCGTCGCCGACCTCCTCGTCATGATAGTTCGAAGCATCGCTTCCCTTGATACCCTTGAGGGGCTGGGTGAAGACAAAAGTCGAATGCGACTCGACGTAATAGATCGGCTTGCCTTGCGTGATCCCCCGCTCCTCAATCGCGGCTGCCGTGGGGAAGCGTACCGCATAAAGCGGGTTCTCGACTCTGCCCAGCGTCTCGGCGACTACACCTGCGATAGTGCGGTCCTCCAGACATAGCAAGGAGCCCGACTCGAGCACCTGGTATTCGCCGGAGGTGTTTGCCACGATCAGGATGGTATTTTCGACCATGGTTTCCACCTTTCCGAGATACACAATTTTCATTTCCGGGGAGATGGTGATGTCGGGGATGGGCAGAACCTCTTCCGGAAGCTCGTTCGCGGTCTTCAACTGGCTGCCCGATCTACCCTTTCCATCACCTTCATCGTCCGAGCCCAGTTCCGCCTGCATCAGGATTCGCGCCTGCTCTTCCGGGCTCAGAATCGGATAATCTTCGTCGTCATCGCTGTCGTCGGAGGAATCGGTCGAAGAATCATCGGAGGATTCGTACGGCGAAGAGTCAATCTCCCATTCGGGATGCTCATCATCTTGTTCCTCCTCTGCCTCCTGGGTAGCATTCGCAGCAGATCCTTCCTCCCGTTCGGGAGCCGCGTCCCCGGGAATCTCCTTATCCAATTCCATGGCTTCATGGTGCGTTCCGGCAGACTCCTGAGCAGTCTGCTCTACCACAAAACTGGGCGCGACCGTAGCAGAGATATTCTGGCTGGTGCCGGTGTGTTGTGTTTGTTCAAGCTGGGTCTCTGAAGAGGTCTCTGGGACATTGTCGTTGACAAGGCTCAATCCCGGAATAGGGAGATGTGAATGGACAGGTGCCATCGGATCGCTTGTAGGACCGTTGGAAGCATCTTGCTTGTCGTTGAGGTCGCTGCTCGTCACCGGGGTGCTTGCATTTAAGGGTGTGTTGTAGAAATCACTCCCATCATCTGCCGGTGTCAAAGCAATGGGTGGCGTGTCATTCATGCAGGGCTTTTTGACTTGGGGACCTTCGCTATGGTCTTCAGTAAGTCCCAAAGGGTGAGAAAGAGGCTGAGAGTCACTCATGCTGATGTCCGCGAGGAGATGATCCAAGAATGAGACAATCTGTGTCGCAGATTGGAGATGCTCTGAGCAGCAGGAACTTTTTTTCGACGGAATCGCCCAGGCGAGCCGAACAGTCGCTTATCGATAAGGCGCCCGGCGCTGGCGGATCTTTCTTCCCGCGCCCCAAGTGCATCGGATATCTATCTATAGAGTATACAGAGTAGACCACAAACAACAATAATCTATCATTGTCATTCCCTTTTTATTTTCAAGGTGAACCCCTCCCCCATCGCCCACTGCCAAATCATGGCACCTACGAGGGAAGTCGATGCTGCATCGGCATTAGCAGGCGCAACAAATACTCCGCGCACCAAAAAAAGGTACCGTCCCACCAGCTGGCATCATCTTCCTATCGCTCGAAAGCTGCGCTAATATGACGAACGCACTCGACAGGCCCCCGCCGTCTCCCTTTTACCTGCCCCTGAACGTCACCCTTTACTTGTGTCTTATATCAAATGTGCTCGCTGCTTTATATGCTCCAATCCAGGATTGCGATGAGGTCTTCAACTTTTGGGAGCCAACCCACTACCTGGCCCATGGTTATGGCCTGCAGACGTGGGAATATTCTCCAGTCTATTCCATCCGCAGCTGGCTCTATGTCTCTGCGCATGCATTGGTCGGTAAAATTAGCTCGTTGGCGCTCAAGAATAAATCTTCCGAGTTCTATGCAGTGCGGTTCTTCCTTGCCATTGTTTGCGCCGCCTGTCAAACGCGACTGTACTCCGCCATCTGCCGCACGCTTAGCCCACGAATCGGCCTCGTCTTCCTGATGGTCATTCTCTTCAGCCCTGGCATTTTCCACGCATCCACGGCTTTTCTCCCGTCAAGCTTCACGATGTACATGTCTATGCTCGGGTTGACGGCCTTCTTGGATTCAAGAGGTGGTCAGAAAACGGCCCAGGGGATCATGTGGTTCGGAATTGGCGCGGTCGTCGGTTGGCCATTTGCTGGAGCTCTTATCATTCCGCTGTTGTTGAGGGAGGTGGTCATTGGCTTCGCTAGCGGAAACCTGCCCAGATTGATTCGTGGAGTTTTTGATGGGGCTATCAGGTGCCTCACAATTCTGGTATGTTTTGTTATACTCACTTCAAAATCGCGACGTGTCCAATGCGCGTTAACGCTTCTCAGGTTGCCGAAGTCATGGTCGATCATATATTTTTGCGCAAGCTCGTGATCGTGCCATGGAACATTGTCGCATACAATGTTTTTGGCGGAGAGGGTCGTGGACCCGACATCTTCGGAACCGAGCCGTGGACATTCTATATCAGGAATCTGCTGCTGAACTTCAATATCTGGTTCGTGTTTGCGATGGCTGCGGCGCCATTGCTGGCTCTTCAGGCGGTTCTCCCTTCTCAGACAGCCGACAAGCAGACGTTGTTGAGACGCCTGGCTCTCATCACGCCCTTCTACATGTGGCTCGCGATCTTCACGGCGCAACCCCACAAGGAAGAGAGGTTCATGTACCCAGCGTATCCATTCCTTGCCTTAAACGCATCCATCTCGGTGCATATGATTCTGTCGTATCTGGGCTCCAGCGATCCCAAAGAATTGGCAGGGCGCTTCGCACCCAAGCTCAAGCTTGCGGCGGTGGCGTCAATGTTCCTCGTGGCCATCAGCGCGGGCTTCCTGCGAACCCTGGGCATGATCACCGCTTATAATGCTCCACTAAAGGTCTTCGAGCCCTTGGAGCAGCCCGGGATGGCTCAACCTGGTGATTCGCTGTGTCTGGGCAAAGAGTGGTACAGGTTTCCTTCGTCCTTCTTTTTGCCTGGCGATATGCAAGCCAAGTTCATTCGCAGCGAGTTCCGCGGACTGCTTCCGGGCCAGTTTCCCGAAGCCAAGGACTTGGCTTCTCTTTTGCAGGGCACGTCGACGATCCCGGCGGGGATGAATGATCGGAACGAGGAAGACCTTGGAAAATACGTAAGACCACTCCAGACCTTTTCCCCGCATTCTACTGCAGGTGCTAACGCGAAAGTATAGGTGGACATTTCGCAGTGCTCCTTCCTGGTCGATTCCCACTTCCCCAGCAGAGAGGCCACCGAACTGGAGCCGGCCTACATCCAGGATGAAACGCACTGGGAAAAACTGGCATGTCACGACTTCCTCGATGCGTCTCAAACGGGTCTTCTGGGCCGTCTGATCTGGACTCCGGATTTGCCGATAGTGCCGCCATCTCTGCGACGGCACTGGGGACAGTACTGTCTGCTTCGACGACGCGGTGCAGATGCAAAGCCCCGGTACTGAATGCAGGAGCGTGCAGCAGAGGCGGTGACTCCCCACAAATTACCAGTAGTAGATCAGTTACTGTAGATGAACAAAACCAAACACATCATTGCATCGATTCTCCCCGGTTTGCCCATGTTAGTAAGTCATATGCGACCCTGCAGGAGGAGCAGCCACACAGGCTTGTTCTCGTCCTCTCTCTCTGGGCGACATGAGTCTTTGCCTGATTGGGAAAAGATATCCCCCGGCTGCTGAAGTGACACGATAGCAAGGGGAGAGAGAGACACGGGCAGAGATAAGACCGCCACCGCAACAACCAGGCCAGGCCGATCGCAGATTTGGGGGTTTCGATGCACCGGGGCATGAGACTATGTGAGGGGTCAACCCCCGACAACGGATCTTATCGCTGAAGCCTATCTTCGGTTTATCAGTCGCGTTCCATTAACCAAAACGGTAACAACTGCTGGCTGGATGGAAGTCTTGCCATGTGCAGTCCAGGCTGAGTGGTTCCACCCTTGACTTGATGTACCTACGCATTCTGTATAAATATGACTGTGCCAGGCTGAATCTGGAGTTGAATTCTGAATTTCTGATCATGGTGAAATACTAACACCACATCCTCCATCTCTAGCATATCAACCAACCATGATGTCATCCGAGCTGGTAGAGACGATCCAACTCCACGCCCCCAACGTGGCCATTGTCTGCCTCGCAACCACAATCGGCGTCTACCTGCTCAACACACTCCTCCGCACATGGAAGACCATTGGGTCGAGTCGTGCCAGACAATCGACGCCGAGTCTCGAGGCGTCCAGGAACAAGACTGAGGATGTCCAACGGACCCCTGGCGGTAAGCAACAACGAACGCATCGACAGTCGCGATTGCAGACACTGCAGAACATCCCCAGCCAACATACTGACAGCGACACCGCACTACCAACAGTATGGACGCCTTCAGATTTCCAACGACCGCCTGCGACCCCGTTCCCCGACTGGGACGTGCACACGACGAAGCCGATTCCCTACCGCCCATTCCGATACGGACCGTAAGTTCTCAGCCAAATTTACCCTTTGTGCTACACAAGAAGTAAACTGACCCCAGTGAAAATGAGGCAAAGAAAATACTTCGTCACGATGGGCCTGCGCAGCATGAAATGGGACGAATGGATCGGTCAGTCTGCCCTCCACCCCCCTAAAAAACACCCCCCCCCCAAAACTAACCCTAGATTCTTGAACCAGAGCTGGACAACCACTACCTCCGCTACCACGCCGACAAAGCCAAGCGCATTGAGGAACGAGGCGCGAAATGCTGCCGCACGCACCCGGAGGCAATGGACGCCGCCATCGAGCTGCTGGAAGAGCTGTACGTCTGCACCTACCTCCTTTCAAACCCTCCTCCCTCCCACCAACTAACCCAACCCCTACAAAAAAAAAGAACAACCTACCTCCCCGAACGCTACCCAACCCTATTCCGCAAGACCCCCACCGGGATAACCAACCTGGCCACGCACGAAACCTTCAACACAACGCAGCGCCCGCTCCCGGAGGACCCCATGCAAACCTGCGCGCGACTCATCCAAGACGACCTGGCCATCATGCTCGAGCGCGCGGACGGCGAATACTACCTCCTGGCGGGCGCCGTCCTGCTGGCGGGCTTCTGGCGCCTGGAGGACAAGTACGGCCTGCGGCTGTCCGAGATCCACACGACCGGCGCCGTGCCCCAGTACGCCGAGAAGCTGGAGCGGGGGATGCGCAACTTCTTCCGGCGGCTGCGGCCGCAGGACCCCGTCGTGCGCAACAACTACTTCATCCAGGTGGACGACGCGCTGGCGTGGTCGCACAGCATCGGGTCCGAGGATGCCGCCGAGGTGTCGTGGAACACCGCCCAGAAGAACAAGGCGATCGAGCACCATTTTTTCCGCTCCGAGCGGCAGTCGTTGCGGAGATTGCCGAGGTCCGGCGCCGTGGTGTTTACGATCCGCACGTACTTTGAGCCCATCACCACGGTGGCGGAGGAGCCGTTTGTGCCGGGCCGGCTGGCGTCGGCGATTCGGAGTTGGGGGGATGATGTGTCGCGGTACAAGGGGAAGGAGAAGTATGAGGAGGTGTTGTTGGAGTTTTTGGATCGGAAGCATGCGGAGCAGGTGGCGGCGGGGTTGGATGTGGAGAGGGAGGAGGAGGTGAGGAAGTATCCTTTTTGAAGTTTGGGGGGTTTTTCTTGGGCAAGGGGGTTGGTTCGGGGTCATAGCATGGTTTTGTATATACGGGACTTTTAACGGCTGGTGAATTTTGAATCTGAGATGAGATTGTTCAGTATAAGGTTTGTCTTTGGTTTCAGTTCATTATTAGGATCACAGTACCTGCTGAACTATATCTCTTTCCTATCTGTGGACCTGCAACCTGCCCACCTATGCGAGTATGCAACCGAACCCTAAAATTTAAAACAGTACGTCTATCCATGTTAAAAGCGCCGACCAAATTTACCCTTCAAAAACACATCCTGGATCTAAAGAGGCATAATGCAGATCAAGTGGCGTTCATCTCAATGTCCAGCTTCTGCCGCCGGCGATGCGAGTAATCCCACTCGCGCTCCTGCCGCCACTCGCACTCATCCCGGAACTCACAGATACGGCATTTCCACGCATCCATGACCTCCACCCCGCGCGGTGCCCGCTCGCCGTGCCACCACTCCATCTGCTCCGCCACGTAGGAGGTCAAGGAATTCGGGTCGAAGAGGAAGGATCGACTGCCCAGCACGCGTTTCTCCATGTCGGTCGTCGGCTTCGAGGAGATGTATTTCGCCGTGAGCAGCGGGGAGACGACGGTGGGGTAGGATTCCAGCGTGACGGGCTGGAACTCGGAGGGGATGGACGGGGCCACGGAGACGGAGGGTGAGGACGGGAGAAGGAAGGTCAGACGGAGGTTCTCCTTCATCAGGTTCCAGAGAGCGGCGAGGCTGTTGTGGGAGGTGAGAATGCTGGTGGAGTCTTGGCTGGCGGGTGGAGCAGATGATGATGATGATGATGATGATGATGTCGGTGACGACGAGGAGACGTCCTGAGCGTCTGCGTCTTCTTGCGTCGGGATGAGATCCGGGTCGAACTCCTGCGACGAGAGCGCGTCGAAGTACTGGTCGTTGAGACCGCCCACTTCGCGGATGAAGGCCTCGGTAAAAGGACGCTGCGCGTCGAGATTGTACCGCGCAGCGAGGACGTCAATGGTCACATCGTCGCTGGTGATGAGGCGGTTCAGCATGTGATAGTATAGCTGGAGTTGGAGCTGCGTGGGACGGAACGAGGAACTCTTGACCGCTGGCACGGAAGCACTGCCTCGCGTCTTAACATCGGTCAAGTAGATCCGGGGTATACTAGGGAGCTCGGAAGACCCCTGGCTGCTGGTCGCTTCATCGGTGGTCGCTTCTGGCTCCTCCTCATTCCTCCCGTAGACATCGGAGAGCCTCTTCCCGCCACGTGATGGTGCAAGCAAATAGTCCGTCAGCGACATCTGATACTCCGGCATGATAGCCCTCGATGCCTCGACGTCGGCATAATACGAGGCGGCCGTCGCCTCGAGGGCTGGATCTGGGCATTCGATCGACAGTTGGTCAATGATGCCAGTGACAAGCTCGCCATCCACCAAGCCCCAGATCTCCAGCTCCCGCGTGATGCCATACTCTCGTAGCAGCCGCAGGCCTTGGATGATATTCCAAATACGCAAGGCGAGCGCGTCCTCCTTGGTCGTGATCTCGACCGGCACCGTCGTGTAGATCTCGTCTTCCAGCGTCTTGTGTATCGTACTGCCGAGCTTCATCGCCGCGGTTCGACGCTTCCGGCCATGTTTCGTCAGCGAGTACCAATACTGCAGCTCACACCAGGCCGGGGAGATCAGGTCCGTGACGGAGAAAGCCTTGTTCGGGGGCCGTCGGAATCGCTCCACCGGGGACCGCGTATCCTCCTCCGTGCTCACCGCGTTGGTGGCGGTCTCGAGGTGACGAGCTGCCTGGCGCTCGCGTTCCTTTTCTCGGCCCTCAGAGGAATTCGGATGCTCAACTAAACGCTTCGTGGAGGGCCACAGGTTAGCGTCGCGATCACAATACCGGCGAAACAAAGCAGCATGGCTTTAAAGCAGAAGAGGGTATTACCAGACGTGGTACCACGGTGACCTGGAATCGACGCTGGCCGACGTGCGCCGTACGGCCAAGTCCGGCGAGTTTGCCAGGCGGGTTTCTCCCTGCCAAACACCCGAGGCAACGGGCGAGACGGTGAGCCTGCATATTGGTCCTCAATATCTGCGATACTCGCAGGAGCTTCGATGGGTACTGGCAAGGGTGGAGGTGACGGTGCGGGTACTGCGACTACAGGGTCGGGGACTGTCGCGTTGTCCGGGGCGACTTTCGCGAACAATTCGTCCAGCAGCGCCTCTTCCTCGGGCGAAAAGTCGGAGCCGTAATCGCTGCTGCTGTCGCTATCCGCAAACGCACCGGGAATTAGGATCGGAGACTGTTTGTGGCAGGGCATGCCTGCAATGCGTGGGGAGCGTTCATGCCATGCGAGGTGGTTTGCGTTGCGTTCGAGAGGCAGGCGGGCGAGACCACCGAGAGGAAGAGGCGAATGAGAGCAGGCCGATTGTGAAGCATCCCTCACGTCATCCTTTCCACTTTTACCACTGCAAGTGCAACCCAATACCACCCTCGATTACTCCATCGAATGGTTAATGTTAATGTGATCGAGTCACTATTAAATATGTTTCCGTTCGCATCACATATACCGAGCAGGCAATGCTGCTGTTCGAAGTCTATATATTTGTTCTATCGCTTTTGCACTTCATGCTAATCTATAGACAAATGCGGCACGCCATGAAGACGTCTAGGATATCCCGATTCAAAGCCAGATAACAGAAACAAAGGAAAGGAAATGTAGTAGGCCAAGAACGGCCCCATCATGCCTTGATCGTCGCCGCACCAGCGCCCATGCTCACGGGCGCACTTGCCTCGGCCATCTCTGCCTCGACCTCCCGCGCCGCCTTCTGGTTCAACCAGCTCAGATACGTCTGCCATCCCACCGCAATAACACCCGAGAAGATGCTGCGGAACTGGGGCGACACGTACATGAAGCTGAATGCCGTGACAGCCGGCCACAGCTTCACGCTGTTCGAGATACTGACTGGCAGCGCCAGCTTCAGCCGTTCAAAGGTCTCCTCCAACGACTTGCCCGTCAACAGAGACTGGAGACTGAAGAAGTAGGTATTGAAGACCGGGGTGAAAACCGCCTGCTGCACGCAGACCTTGGTCAAGATCGAGAGGAATTTGGACGAGTAGTTGAAGTTGTTGTGGAGGAACATGAACCTGTTCAGCACGCACGCAAGTAATCAAGTCAGCCCTTACATACTCCATTGTTTGACTTTCAAAGAATGCAGAATGGGCCATACCATTTGAACGTCGGGATACTCGATCCCACCCCGACCGTCAGATGTCGCAGCGTTCTCAGCGGATCATATCCTCCACCAGTCCTCTCTTCCTTCTTTTCTTCGCTACCCGCCGCAGCTTTCCCTGCTTCCTTGTCTCCCTCCAAAGACTGTGCCGTCGCCGTCGCCGGGGCCGGATCCGCGGGAAACAGTAATTGTGCACTCAGATCGCCGCAGAGATAGATGATAACCGAGCTCCACAGCTGCGTCGCATACGGCCGGCGCTCCTGGACCCGCGAGTACGCTCGCGCCACTCTTCCCACAGGGCCAGCCTGGATGATTTGAAGCAGCGATCGCGAGCCCGTCTGTGCGGCGGTCGGCGTCGGGACGACCGGAGCGCCCGAGGCTGAGGCAGCTGTTTGTGCATTGAGTGGTGGGGAGGAGGCTTTTGTTGAGGGGTCTGGTTTGGACGCTGGGGAGGAGGATTGATATCTCCGTGGTCGGAGCGGTCGGGAGAGTTGCAGCGACCGGGGGATCGGTGGTCTGGCGAAGATGGTGGTGCTCATGGTGTAGAATATATCGCGGTTCGGAATGAATTCCTATATCATTATTCGCATGTATAACTCGTACAATAGTGAATGTTGGCGAGGGCCAGGGTTCAATTAAGGTCGCGAGAGAGACTCCTGGTATTGAGTTGGGCGACCGGCCACATCAATGAGCGCAGACCACGAGTCTCACACCGATAGGTTCAGTCAAACATGCAAGCGTTTTCACGGCCTGAGAAATGCTGTCAGAGGGTGAACCAGGCGCAACGGGCTATAGTCGGTCAGCAGCGATAATAAAGAGAAGCCATGATTATGAATCATTTGGGAGGGGGGGGAAAGAAACTCCGGAAGGCAAATGTCGGGAGCGCATAAGCAACAGCCGGTGCCGAGGGTCGGCGAAGCGATCCGATCGCAGGGAGGAAAAGTTCTTAGCTGGAGCTCGCTTATCTCCGAAAGATCCAAAACCCCGAGGATCCATAAGATATGTATAGCTTCCAGCTAGCTACGGTATTGATGCACACTTTCATAAATTGAATCCAATTAATATCATTATTCAGATCGGAGAATCTCTATAGGACTGCCTGAAACAAACAGAAACTCCACCCTCTATCAACAAACAGTAAGTAGCATATACATAGAAGCACGGGGTATATCAACAAGCAAATCATCGAACAATCATTGCCCAGAAATTGAGGCTGATTGTTTCATTTCACTCGACGCAGCCATCCACGGCTCACATCGACATCTTCAAAAGAGGTAATAGATACTAAAGATTATAAAGTAATCGGGAAGTGGGTATGTGCTTTTTGAGAGGCGTTTTGAGAGGCGTTTTGTAAAGCGTCTTGAGGGGCGCTCGAACCAAATCAATCCACAGATGGGATTTTGCCCTTCGAGCCTGCATCTGCTAAGCGGAATCAAGCTTTGAAGGACTCGCGAGTGTGAACCCGGTCAATGTCGTAGGGGTTACCCTCGTAAAGCGATTGGCGCACGGAGTTGACCGTATGAGTGGAGGCCTTGCTGCGAGTGCGGTGCAGGTCCGTCAATCTCTCGTTGTGGCTCGATTCGGAGTCAGCGCTAAGGATCTCGGCGGCCGGGGCTTCGGTGCGGTCGAATCCATGCTCCTCCTTGGCTTCCTCCTGAGGTTCTTCGGGTGCGACCTCGGCCTTCTTCATGTGCTGCGCCAGCATCTGTCGCATGAAAGCGTCGGACTCGGCAGCATACTTGCAGCGCTTGCGAATGGCGGGTCCATACTTGTAGAACATGAAGGGGAACGGAACACAGGCAAGCGCCAAGAAAGCCGGGATACAGGTAGCCCAGTGAATACCAAGATCGTTGTACATGTAGGTCGTGAAAAGAGGGAACACGGCACCGAAGATAGATCTCAGAACGGAGTTGGCGGCCAGGACCGAAGCGGCGAAGATGGTGTAGGTGTCAATGAGATAAGACAGGTTACTCAAGAATACCAGCACGAGGCCAAAGCCGAAGGGCACTCCAGCGGCCACACTAGCCATCCAGTGAATAGACACGTAGTCTGTCCAGGCAAACCAGAAGAGACCAACCGGGATCGCAACAGAGGCAATCAGACATGGGGGCAGGCGAGCCTCTGGGGGTGCGAAGCCGCCGTGCTTCTGAGAAACACGGATGTACCGCTTGTTGTCGAGAATGTTGTAAACCACAGCCCCGATCATACCCACCATGATGCCCAAGAATGGAAGACTGCCAACTCCCTGGTTCCAGCCACGGTGCAGCTCGTAGACGATAGGGTAGGCAGCGAACAGCATGTAGAGGGTTCCGTAGACGATGGCGATGTAGAGAGAAAGCAGGAACACGATCGGCTCCTTGAATAGCAGGATCCAGGGGCGGGACAGCGCAGTCTTGAAGGCCTGTCCAAGGGTGGTCTTGCCCTGATCGATGTCGGTCTTGCTGCGATAGATCTTTCCGGTAAGCTTGGTCAGTTTCTCTGCGCGACGACGAAGAAGGACCGGTGCGTAAGTTTCCGGGACAGTCAACGATCCAAGAATCCAGACAAGGCCAGTGAAGGCACCCAGGAAACCCATCACCCATTTCCATCCGGCATTCATTCCCAGGAATCCGCCAATAATAGGGCCGAGCACGGGACCTGTGCCAAAGAATGGTGATTAGCAGCAGCTCAAGATGGCAAGGCGCAGAGAGAATGAAGCATACCCAAGAAAGGAGCAGCGGCGAACAAACTTGTCGCAACACCTCTTTGACTGGCAGGAAACATGTCGGCGATGACACCACCAGCGTTGGTCATGGGCGACGATCCGAATGAACCAGCGAAGAAACGAAGGATGATGAGGGTCCAGGCGTTCTTGGAACCAGCAGCACCGGCAGTGAACGCCGTGAGCGCCATGTAAGTGACACAGTACACGATTTGACGGCCAAACATTTCCGACAGCGGTGCCCACAGGAGCGGACCTGCATATTTGTTAGGATGGACTGATAACAACACACATGCGAAAACATGATGACAGATTGCAGAGCGTACCAATAGCAAAACCAAGAACGAAAAGAGAGACACCAAGGGTCGCAACTTCGGTACCGATTCCAAATTCTTCTTCGATTTCGACAATACCACCAGTGTAGGCCGATGACACAAGGGCGACGGCCAAGGTTGCGAGCGCCATCATCATGGTGAAAGTCCACTTCTTCGTCTCGCTGAACTGCATGGGGTTCCGGGGATCCTCGGGGAGCCAAGTGACTGCATACGGATCCTCATCGGTACCGGATCCAGGATAATGATGATCGAGGATTTCCTGAGTTACCACGCCTTGGTCGGTCAACAGACGCCAGAATGGGATCTTGTTGCCGGTAATAGCCATGGCCGAAGGCCCACTGTCCCCCTTGTCGTTGGCCATTGCGGAGGGAGGGAGAAGGGCGAGCTCTTGGTGAAGGTTGGTAGTCGATCAGGTAGCTGATGGAGTTGGTTGAAGGTTGAGTATGTCCCGATACCGGTTAAGGTAGCCACCCAGGGTCCAAACAAACAATCGTCGTTAGTAGTGACCGAATGAGATCGACCGAGAGGTATAGTAGCAGGCTAGGCGACAGCTGCTTAATAAGGTAAGGTACTGGAGTCGACGTCTGAAGACGACGATCAAATGAGGTAGGTATGATCAATCGGATAGATGATCTTCAGCATAAAACCGAAACAACCTAGAGTACGTACGATCGAGGGACATGGCATCGGATATATACAGCGGCCTAACGAGTCACGGCTAAGGAGAGGGGCTAGAAATTTCTGCTAATCTCTGCACCACCTGGCATTGTCCCACCACGGCCACCACGGCGTCATCTCGCCCTGGCGCTACAAACGGGAACGACAAATCGTTGAAGGGGACTTTAGCCTCGGATCCTCGCCGGTCTGAGACCAAAGCGAGGAACCCAGGGACTCACCAGTCCAGCGATTCCCAAAACGGGGACTTTCTGCCGATATTCGTGCACAGAGGCCGGCCTATGCAGGACACAAATTCATCACTGGGGCGGGCGAGACTGCATGGGCTCAGCCAATGTGGGCCGAAAACCCACCCAGGAGGCTCGAAATGCTGGTTCCATGGGCAAGTCCGCCCACCTCGTGGACGGCAGTCCCGATGGCGTCTGCGAGGGTTTGATGTGATTAGTCGGTGATGAAGAGAGAAGGGCTGATGTGGGGGGATCGTGTGTGGTGGAAATTTTATCTGTTCGACAGGGGAACTTGCCGAGGTCCAGGAGATAGTATGTAGTTAGGCAGATAGCTGTCTTACATAATCCATCGTCCTAGCCCAGATAGGGTCGTTTCAGGTTGTTTAGCAGGAAATTAATGGCAGCCCACTGTCGAAGGATCTTAGCGGGATGCTGGGTGGTGGAAGTCGGGACTGATCATGAGAGCAGTGATATTGAGTAGAAAACCTGCTCAACGAAGAGGGCTGATCGGGGTGAGAGAGAAAGAGATATCATCATTGTGACATGCAGTTCAGAACCTTCTGCTGCATCGGGTCGCATAAAAGTCCCGGGACGGGTTTAGCGTTCTTCTAGAACAGGCAGTTCCATGGATGGATCTGATGAGTCGAACAGGAACATGAGAGGAAGAACTGGAACTCTGTCTTACCGTACGGCAGGCATGATTGATGATTCAGACACGCCAAGCGGGCTACGGGATCCCGACGATAATCCGACTTCATGGAAAATATGATTAACAATCATCTCCCTGCTCAAAGTGGGCCGAATCCAACACAACATCCGACTATTGACCAAAGATTGTTTCTTGTATAACAGGCCTTGCGTGGCCTTTCGACAATATAAACAACACTACAGTCACGATCTCGTCCGGTGAATGTCAACAACTACGGGAAACACAGCCTAGAGATTATGGCCTCGCTAAGTAGCATGAATACTGAGGTAAGTTAATGATGCTTCTGACCTGTCAGTATCAACATGCAGCCACTGGCGATTTTGCAGGGTTGGGATTGGGATAATACTCAGCACTTTGCAGGATCAACCCCAATATAAATAGATGATTGTCGGATTACGCCGCCGCCCCACCCCTGCCCGTACAGCTAACCAGCTAGTCGACTGCCTGCTGGACTACTTCATCTTAATCATTTCTAGGCATGATCTAACCGTTATCTCAGAGGCTTGGATTTTTATGAATGTTCACAAAGGCTTTGTGATCGCAATCGGTCGACATTGGCGTCCAAGGAAGTGCCAAAAGGCAAAGTCTGATCCGGAGAAGCAAGCTATGAATTGGCGGTCTTGTCCTTCTCGCGAGAAAGCTTCCGCAGGCGCCAGTGGCTTGATTGCCCCCTGCCCTACTACTCAGTAGTTCATTGAGGAGTGTAAGCGAAGAGAGGTCACACCGCATCCCCCGACCGTGCTACCAACTAACTCTGGAGAATCCGAATTGAGGAGCAGAACGCGCCCCCGGCGGTCTGACTCGCATTTGACCTGTCCCTTTTGCCCCGGTTCCCGTCGATCCGGAGGGGGAAATGCGGATGGGGATGGACTGATCGCAATCCAGACCAGGAAAGTCACAGCTGGTCGTTGGGCTACAGGCTACAAGGGACCGTCTCAATTCCATCCTTATGATATTTGAGCCGAGCCTCAAATCTTACGTCCGTGCCCTTTTCTCTAGAGCCAAATCCTTTATAAATCGGAGTTGACTTAGCCGGTGCATGCATGCTGCGCTGCCGGGTCGTATCACCATGTCCCCTTGCCCGGCCCTAGTCGGGACTTGCGAATATCATCAGGCTCATCGCTGCCATAATCAACATCCACCAAAAAAAAAGCAACAAATTTCCCCGGGCAGATCGCGCCGAATGTCTTGTGACTTTTCGGCTCTTGATCCAAAAACAACACGCGATCCAACGACGTGGCAACTGCACGTAAGCTTTCCCGGCTTGAGGCAGCCACTGTATAGCGCAAAGTCTTATGCAGAATGTAACGTTTCCATCCCTCCACAAGCATGGCGGGTGCATGATGAGTCGATGACCCTTAAGCGAATCGCAGTCGGAAGACTTCGCCTGGAGTCATTTAGCCCGAACGGCGGCCGACTCTTTGCTCGACTGATTTCGTGCAGGTCCTCCAAAATCGACACACCCCATGTTCATAAAGCTGCATTCCTCGTCGCCTCTTTCATTCACTTCTCTTCTGCTTGTTTTGCGAGTCAAAAGTGGGAACCGATTTTGAAACGCGCTGCATTTCCAGAGTTGAGGTTGGCGGTCGACCGCAACATCGTCATAGAGATTCTGTAGCTGAGTGTTTGAGTGGCTAGGGCGTGGAGATCACACCAAAAACGCCTCATATCTTCTTCCAAGAGTATGCGATCGAAGTGTTACCATGGCATCAATACTATAGCCATCAATATGCTGCAAAGATTCTAAGACGAGCCAGAAGAATGAAACAACCTTCTCCGCAAGATAAAGAAGTTTCGTGAGGCTGAGGCAATCCAGTATGCGATCACCGACTAGACTATCGATAAGAGGCGCTGGCGAGAGTGGGGAGAACTCCGTAGTCACTCCGTCCTTGTGCAGTAAGCCTAACTTGCGCAGGGCAGCTCGGCCGACGCTTGGACCAAGGGCCTATAGATCCCGTATACTAGGTAGTCAATCTTCTTGACTCTGCTCGCATGATAAGAAGGTAAGAAATATGAGTTCTTCCTGCTGCTAACTACATCATACTCATCCCTCGGCCTCGACACAATAACAACAACGTAGATGTTGCAATTCAGCAACGCTGGAAATATCATGATCTCGAGACGGTCGCGCTTCCGAACACTGCCAAATTTCGCCCCGACATGCCCCCCTTAAGGGTGCTAACTTATTCTACAGCCACATCGACCTACTATCGTTTCCATTGGCGATAGTAGATACTTCCTTCAGGTGAACCCTTTTTCGCGGTCGCAGTAGCCGAGACTGACTTTCTTCCACGGTGCTACATAGTAGTTACAGGCACCACGAAAGACGTCTTGATCTCATCATGACTCTTCTCCCTTCTCCAGTCCTTCGCTTCTAGACTCGTCCCGTCCAAATGACCCCCCCTCCGTCCCCTTCCGCCCGAACCGGCCCAGCGCCATCGCCATCGCCATCGTCGCCCGCAGCAGAGACCGGACCGAGCTACACGCACCGTCCTAAGACTCCGTACATCAATCTACTGGACAAAGGTTGAAAGCTGCAGATATCGATAGAAGAAACTAGGAAGGCGAAATTGTTCCTGGCTCGATAACCCTCGAGAAATGACGGACAGACCAACCGGCTGGCTCCCAGGGGTCGGTCGCCCACTGTTCGCCTAGTTGCCCAGATTATTTCTGGGCTATTTCGCCACCCCCCGCGCAATTTTGCAAGATGAGCCCTTATGAGTCAGGGAAAGGAAAGTAAATATATTCATGCCAAGGCGGATTATTCGCCATGATTTTCAAAATAGCTACGAGCACGTAAAATAAGTAAAGTCGGGATGCGGCAGGGGTCAGACACTACTAAGCAACATCATAGAGAAGCCTCAGACATTACAGTCTCTGCGCGGTCGCGGCTCGCCAGACTCCGTATGGGGGAATGAACAAATCTACAAAGCATCTGTCATCGGACCAGGACTTCGTCTACCGCTGAAGAGATAGAACATCATCACTAGGCGAATCACAAAGCTGGATTGGATTGCATCGTCATAGATACTGCATTTCGCGGTCTATGCCATCCGATGTGGCGCTTCCAGTGGAAGCCACTTCTCGAATCAAATCATCTGTAATGTACATATTCGGACGGATGCATCGCCATGATCATCAATCCACCCAGAGCCGCTCGAAGAAAAATTCGGCAGCCTTACTATTTATTGCGTAGCAGCAAGAGAAATCACAAAACCCATTTGCCGAGAGACCCGTTGTGAAATTCGCAAAAGAAAACCCATCATGTATCGCCAGTAGTCATGAAAAAGCAAAAGCAAAGAAACCCCGTTATCGCCATCCCATAAAAGAGCCAACCAGTTGCAGAGATAGACTCATTCGAAGATCAAATGAATCTAGGAGCGCTCACCGCGGAGACGGCGGGCAAGCTGGATGTCCTTGGACTGGATGGTGACACGCTTGGCGTGGATGGCGCACAGGTTGGTGTCCTCGAAGAGGGAGACGAGGTAGGCCTCAACGGACTCCTGGAGAGCACCGATGGCAGAGGACTGGAAGCGGAGGTCGGACTTGAAGTCCTGGGCGATTTCACGGACCAGACGCTGGAAGGGGAGCTTGCGGATGAGGAGCTCAGTGCTCTTCTGGTAGCGACGGATCTCACGGAGAGCGACGGTACCTGTGAGGTGAATGTATTAGAAGAGATAATCTAGTCACTTTGAGAGTGAGAAAGAACTTACCGGGCTTGTAACGGTGAGGCTTCTTGACACCGCCGGTGGAGGGAGCGGCCTTGCGGGCAGCCTTGGAAGCGAGCTGCTTACGGGGAGCCTTGCCACCAGTGGACTTACCTGTAAAGCGAAGTGGTTAGCATGATCATGTTTCGGGTGAGGTGAGACGCGGTCAAGGAATGAGACGTGTCGCGACCATGACGCGAGACAACGAACGCCTTTGGAGGCAACAGGCAGTGACGGTGAGGTGAAGTGGAACTTACGGGCAGTCTGCTTGGTTCTAGCCATTTTAGATGTTTAGGTTTGATGAATTAAGTCGACTTGAGATGGAAAGATAAAGTTGTGGATGGTTGTCGATGATGGAAGTAGTAAGGTGTCGACGGGATTGGGGAGATGTAAGAAGGATGGAGGAGGTGGGTGGGGGGCGGTATTTGTAGTAAGCGAGAGGGTGGGTAGTGATCTGGGAGGGAGTAAGGTGTGAGGGGGGGGGAAGGGTGGGTGGGTGAGTGAATTGGCAGTAATGGAGGGTGGCCTTAGCGCCCGTTTCCTTTGATCCAAAAATCGATCGGAAAGCAGTACACCATAAGCTCTGATTTCGGGTCTCACTTTTGGCGGGCAAAATCAAAGGGCCTGCAGGCAGTTTCGGGCGGGAAGGGAAAAGGCGGTCCTGCGCTAAGCGAGTGCCTTCCCGCCCGTCAGCCAATAGGATCACAGGATCACGCATCTAGAATACCCCCCTGCCACCTCTTTGATCTCAACCTCAGGGAAGGGATGAAGGGCTATCAGAATGCTTGGTAGAATGGCAGCCATCGGCCAGAATGTCTCTGATCTTCTTTGATCGTTGATCTCGGTGGTTGGGGACATTCCGGGGCAGATCAAGTCTGAGGCAGCGGAATCACCACTGCTCGGTCACGTTGCCGGCCAGATCAAGCCCGCCGTCCGGGATCCTGCCCGCTGATTGGTTGATTCGGGTCTTAGCGTGTGATTCCAACGCCCTCCCCGCCCTCTGCCTTTCGCTATACAAATAATCCCCCGTCCCATGGAAGCCTCTCCTCCTTCTTCCCTGAACATCTATCACCAGCTTAAATCGCCCATTCTATCTCCACCTCCCATCACCTCACCAACTTTAATTCAACTCTAATTCCGTTTCAGAACAAACCGTCAACATGACTGGACGTAAGTCTATTGCTTCCACTTAGACCTGATTCCTCATTGGGGATCAAAACTATCCCATCTCCTGCATCATGTATTCTAACATGACGCGTTTCCAATAGGTGGCAAAGGTGGAAAGGGTCTCGGAAAGGGTGGTGCCAAGCGTCACCGCAAGATTTTGCGTGACAACATCCAGGGTATCACCAAGCCCGCTATCCGCCGTCTCGCTCGTCGTGGTGGTGTCAAGCGTATCTCTGCCATGATCTACGAGGAGACTCGTGGTGTCCTCAAGACCTTCCTCGAGGGTGTCATCCGTGACGCCGTCACCTACACTGAGCACGCCAAGCGCAAGACCGTCACCTCCCTCGATGTCGTCTACGCTCTCAAGCGTCAAGGCCGTAAGTTTGACCCAAACCCGCGTCCGCTCCATGCAGTGCATTCTAACCTGCTCTCTCCCCTCAGGCACCCTCTACGGTTTCGGTGGTTAAACGCGTTCTTCTTTTCCTGCTCTTTTCTTTTTAGCCATCCTGCGCGGTCGGCGCGTCGGTTGTCCTTCCGCAGCAGTGACGCGACGGGTTGCTTTTTCGGGTTGGTTTATGGTATGACTGGGACGTTGGGGTGTTCTTGATCTTTTTATTACAAGTATCCATGGGTCTGGGTTTGCTTTATCGCACTTTATTTTACTTTTACGCGTCCACTACTGGTCTGCTAGTGCGCGCGCTTCAATTTCTGTATCATAGCGGCCTTTATGCTTCCGGCTGGTGCCATAGGCTACACACGATCGCGCGACCTACCTAAGACGCGGTCGAATATGAATACAAACGGTCGAAAGAACTCAAACAAAATTTCTCCTGTCTCTACGTAGCTTGATCTTGGTCGCTGTCCTTCTGGCCTTTTTTGTGTTGTGCGTTTTCCATATTCGGTTGTGCTGGGACGCGTGTCGCTTCGCGGCGTGATTGCGGGCCTCTCTCAACTTGTTGGTTTGAGTCCTCAGGCACCACCCTCTCTATGCTGCGTTTTTTTGAATCTTCTCGTATGATCGTAGCTCATGAGCATCACTTGGCATATAGCTGTAGGTGTAGTAATGCAATATCGCTTCCATGCTATTTAAACTGTTTTACTGTAATCGTATTCGTCTGATTCTTGGTCTGCAGTCTGGACGTTCTACGCGACGTCGAAATTGATATCCCTCTCCCACACCGATCTAGCTCGATATTCTACTTTCGAGGGGCTTTACTGTGGTTAGACTGTTTTCTTTCTGGTTATGTGGTGTTCGCGCTTCGAGTACTGTATGTTGTGGTGGAGGATCAGGTATAATGCTGAGAACTATATTCCAGGTAGATGTGGTATGCTACAATATATATCAGAGGACCTCCCGTGTAGACCCCTACACCATCCTACACTCTGCCAGATGGCGACAATATTGCAGAAATAGACCAATACAAACATAGGATGCCATAAAGCATGAACTAGAGAGCCACCAGAAGCAAGATTAACACTGTAGCAAGGACATCAAGAGTGTAATCATGCACATCAGTAGAGTGATCGCTAGGGGGTTCAACTCGACGCCGACCCGGACCCGCGGAAAACCCGCCGGGGTTCAACCCGAGCTTGAGTGGGACCTGGCACCGACTCTACCTACAGTACAGGCTCATCCGCCCAAGAATTCGCTGCACTATGGCCTGCACACCCACGGAAAACGAACATCCGCATGCAAAAGGACAAGGATGACCAAAAATACGCACCGGAAAACTCATGAGGCGGTGCCAGTACTGAGTGCTCACTCGGATCCAAAACAGTGCACATCGCAATCACAAGGAAGCTCATGACGTACAGTAGTACATGCTTCCCCGTACCGCGCCGCGGCCCCGGGTCCAGAACAGACGCGTCCTGCGTACAGTAGACCATCGCTACAACGAACGACATAGGAATGCCACCTTGGTCCAGCAAACCAAGGAATACCCTACACCGAGACTGGGTCGCGTGAAAGTGGCCGGAAAACGCGAAAAAAGGATCGTCACATCGAGGGATTCGGCATAGCGAGGTGTCGCAGAGGAATCCATCGCGAAAACACGATCTGAAAACTTCTCAGTAACACAGGACAGGCCCGGGCATAGATACCACGCGTCGCAGAAACGATCTACAGAAAAGCACTCGCGGATGATACACACATCGAGTCTCCTATCTACGGCAGCGAAGAACCACGACGTGTCGATATGATCCGATGGCACCGAGAGCATAGATGCACTCACATCCAAGATCCACCATGATCGGCAAATGGATCAACAGGAAGAAGGTACGCGACCAAATCTTCTCTGCCCCAGAGAAATGAGTGAACAAACCGTCAGCAGGTTCAACCCGGGTTCAACCCATTCCAACCGCCCAGGTTGAACCCGAGATCAGACGGACTAGCAATCACCCAGCAGACTTGAAGGAAGACGCGTTTTACACCACCGAGAGAGCCAGAAGTCGAGACAAAAGGGAGAACGAGCAGAAGTCTAGAAACGGTCAATCTTCGGATGGGCACTCCACGGAGCGGGATCAACACCAGTAACCCCAGTCCGACCATGGCGATGGCCGACACAGCAGAATACACAAGATCAACCCGAGCAATACACGATCGCTGGAAACAGTGAACACCCACCACTGCATCATCGAAGATCGCAACACCCTGCTCTGCCCGGTTAACCCATGGACTCGTCCTAGACCGACATTGACGCGCGTAAGGCCAGACAAGTTGTGACTCGACGAGAATGCACCCTGCTACCAAGCCCAGCAGAATGTGATGAGCCCAGGTCTAAGTCATTTACGAGTTCTGGTCTCTCTTAATCAGAGGAGCATCGTATGAACTAGGATGTCGATGGCAGGACAATGTACACGGGGACTCGGGGATACCAGGAAGTAACGCGATTGATCACGCGGTATTCCTAGCTGGCCTGTCATCCTGCAAGGCTACCATAGGTCCTGCCCGATAAGTCCGAACACGCAAACAGTTCCACGACGTCGACGGCGGCTGGAGATTTCCAAACTGGCGTATTAACCCTCTCCTGCCACTATCTCGACGAAACCTCGTCGAAGAGCACCGCTGCCGGAAAGATATCTGACAGACGCGATCAAGTCTGGACCAAGGGATATCCATATAGCACCGGACAAAGCCGGTCGGGGGACCTGGAATCATTCGGTCTGGTGACCGAATGACCAGATAATTTGGTGAATACACCCAGGCCCCCGGAATCACGAGCAATACCACAAGTGATTCTGCAAAGGCAACTCGGCCGAACGGCCAGTCACTAGATGGTCCACACCCGCTGGAAGCGGCGTATCGCACCGAAAAGTTGCCCCGTCTGCACATGATGCCCATAGTGCTCATGCCCGCATGAAACGATGCTAGAAACATTGAGGCAAATTTTTGGACGATACTTAGAGCTGGGCTAGAGGGCAGAGTCCTGCCTGGATCACATTCGGGGGTAGGGTTTGTGGGGGCTACACAATTCGCGAGACGGTGAGTATGCGTGTATAACCGTTGCACAGGCGGGTGCTTACGGTGCTCACCATGAGGTGCACCGACTGAATCATGGTACCTTGTGAACACCCTAGGCCAGACACAGGCCGCCTTGGTACAAAATGCGAATATCATGGCACGTTGGGTGAAGACCGGGTTGCCGTTGACCGCTTGGCGCGAGCAAGCACACCAGGTAAGAGAGAACTGTCTACAGATGCGCTGACCTCAATTCCTACGGGACTGCCCTTTTTCCACGCTCATGGACATGTCGGACGATGCTGGCGAGAGCCCAATGGTTCGGCCGTTAACAGTATCATGCATTTTGGAGTCAAAACATGCATTTTGAGGCGCTCTATGATCCTGAGAGCGGATACAGTCGCCTGCCTTCGATACATGCTGTGGCACATGCTCGAGACAGACCAGGATGATGGATAAGAGAGTAGTCTCGGTATACGAAATGGTCAGGCCAGCATACGTGCTCAGGAGTCGGTGCTCTTAACTTGAGCTGGAGACCCAATCCCAGGCTCCGTAGACACCTCACTGTCCTCCGTGTGCCTATCTTCCGAATGAATACGGCGAAGATGACAAAGATGCTAGTGGCCTACTAGAGCCTGGCTGCCATGCTTCGATCCATGATATACTAGTAGTTCTTGCGTTGCTCTTCAAGTCAGGGGAGTATGGCTGGATCTCCATTGGCCTTGCATCCACACAGTCTAATATCCAGACGGCATGGGTTTGTTAAAGTAACCCGAGATGGTAAGTTCTAACATGAGCTTCACAGCGGGTCGTATATGCTTATAGGATGCAATTGTCGATTTCCACGAATATCACCTGCAGCTCGATATCAAAAACACCACAAACTATCATTCCGTTCATCTACAAGACGAGGCCAAAAACTTAAGTGTAAACAAATATGAAGTGCAAAAAGAGATGTCCCGAGGGAGGTTCGAACTCCCGGCCTTGGGATCGCCCAGAAGTGATCTTCCGAGTCATACTGTAGTATGAGACCCACGTGATAACCAACTACACCATCGAGACAAGTTGTTGAGATGACCGTCAAGGTTGGGTACTAAGACGGCGACCATGACCACATACCTAGTACTGACCGCATCCATCATCGGCGGGTCAGCCAGCAATGCGCCATGGTGTCATGATCGACATTGCTGTCCGAATAATGATGAATTGGATTCATGTATGGTCCCGGATCAGTAGACTAGCTCGCACAGAAAACGGGGGCCTTACACTCCTCATTCATACCTGGTAAGGTCATTACTGTACGTGTAATCGGTTGACGGACGAGATCAACATGATCCGTATACCATCATGCGATTTGTGGCTTGTATGCGATTTCGATTGCATGGTGTAAGGTTTTGCTGCCTCGGAGGTGGTATGTAGTGTAGAAGTTATGTCATGGTGGTGGTGGTTTGGGTATCCGGGTCCTGTTCATAGTCAGGAGGATATATGTCTGTCTGTCTGTAAGCATGCAGGCCAGATTGATGGCATTACTGTATGTACTTGGGCGCCGTGCTTGAAGTGAAATGGTCTACAATTGCTTAACGAGATCGAAATCAATACTAAACCTAGGATGACTCAATCCCGCGACGACTATAGCTCTCACAACCTCATAAAAGTATGGGATGTACCATCTGACCAGGTATGATGAAGGGCACGTTCTCCGAAGAAACGGCCTCGGAAATACAGTTCCTGGTTCCTCCAATCGTTGACCCTCCCAAACGGGGAGAGCGGGTTTCAGAGCACCTCATGGCGAGAAAGTTACAAAATCGAACCTTGTCTGTTCATTCATACCCTGGACCTCACCGACCTACAACCACATCCGTATAATACATGCACTCCTAGTAGCGCGACCCAATCCCCAGCCCAAGATACGCAGCAGTCTAAGCACTAAAAACCACCTCTCTCTACCCATTTTGGCTCCTTCAACCGTCCATCCAAACATAACATGCGCGCCCCTCCCCCCCTCGAGAGCTCCCACAATGCAATAATAGCGTCAGACATGGGGAAATAAGGCCATATTTCCATCATCCGCGAAGATCTCCACCCCGAACGAGTAAGTAAACGCGGCAATCGACCATGCAACCACCCCCCGCCCCCCCCCATCCACCCTCTGTCCAAAGCTTCTTGAGGGGGAAAGATGGTTCGTTCGTTTCCATTCTCCACTCCCATGATGATGTACATATTATTTCGAAATGACTTGACTCGCATCCACAACCCCTACCGACCCTTGACCCTCATGAGCTCAGAGGCTATCTATCCTCCCCCCCTCCCTCTTCCTCCCCCCGTCCCGTCCCGTCCGATGTCGAAAGTACCCA